AAAATTTTTTTAAAAAAATTTCCAAAGAGGGAAAAAATTTTTTGTATTTTTTAATTTAAATTTAGGGGGTTTTTTTTTTTTTTTTTTTTTTTTTTTTTTTTTTTTTTAGAAAATGTTCAAACTCAGAAATTTCCAAAGTTTTTTCCCTAGAAAATTTCTGAGATTGTCAAAATTTCAGAGTAGAGCAAATGTTTTTTTTTTCCCCCTGTAGATCCCTGATACACACTAGTTCCTTAATATTAAAATAAAGTGCATTAAAATGGTATAATAACACTGTGTTATTCCGATGCTAATCCAACACTTTATTATTTTATTTGTGGCATTTTCAACAGATTTTTCTGTTTTATTCAACTGATCAAAAATTATACCGGCGTTTTAAACATGGAGGTCAGAGCATTTTGAACTCTGGATTCATTAGCTGTAAAACTCAAACTGACCTCCAAGGTGTCACAAAACCTTTTTATAAGTATTAGTTGATTAATTTTTATTCAGTTTCCCACAAGATGCTGGATTTCTACCTTAATTTAACTTTTTATATTATTTCTAATGTATGTTTTCCTTCCTTAAAATGAGTCTCTGTGGTTGTTGCAGCTGTCGCACGAGCAACAGAAAGAGCCTGATTGGAAGCGGTCAGTCGTCGGGTTTACCGCGACCCCACTCTCCGCTCTCTTCTCTCACAGGTGAGTTCATGTCCATCACATGTTCGTGTCGCCTAATGTAGAACCTGTTGTCATCACTGTCAGGTTGTACACAGAGGGGGCCTTTAGTGCACTGCGACAGGAAAAACCCGCAAAATGAAAATGAAAAGCTTTTTATTTTTGCAAAAAGTACAAGTACAGATGACACAGGAGCTCTCATGCCCTGTTTATAATTACCAGTAGAGGAATATGCAGTAAGAAAATACAATAATCACACCGACTATCACTGGGTGATCCTGCTGTGGGATGAAAAAAGGATTGACGGCGTGAAGCATCAGGTTGCATTGTGGCGTTTTTTTCTGGTCAGACTTTGGTTAGGTCAGCCAGCGCTGGGGCTGAGAATTTAACGGTGCAACAAATCAAAAACGCCATGATTGTTTTTGGGTGAGGAAGCGGCGGCCTGCAGGGAGGAAATGCACAGGACCAGAGGGAGGGAGACCTCATTTACCACAGGGCGTTTTATTTCCTGCCATTGCTTAGCGAACACAGCGCTGCAGCTTCAAGTGTTTAGTCTGCATCGTGACCTGATGAAGGAGCCCAGATTTTAAGATGGATTCCGGCTCTGAAAGCCCCGGTGCTTTTACTAACGAATGCGCACAGCTCTGGGATGACGTGACGCTGTGGCTGAGGCGTAATATTTATATCAAAGGTAAGAAGAGCAACTTTTCTGGGCTGCCATTTATATTGAGGCATGTAATCGTCTCTGAGCCATCTTCCATGTAAAAGCTTTTCTAGTCATGAATTCCTCAGAAATTATATGTTCTGTTTGAAAAAGGTTAATCTTCTTTATAGCAGAAAAAGGAAATTGGTCACCTAATTATGTGGCCAAACCTGTGTAATATATTTGATTAATTCTAAATATGTGAAGGTTGTTACAACGCAACCTCAACTCAAATTACTGCTTTGTTGGATAGCAAAGCTATATGAAAGGAGAATTGTGAGAGGAACTTGTTTTAGTCCACTTCAGCCGTCAACATTTAAACTTCATGAAAGCCGATGCAAAAATGACATTTGATCTTTGATAAAACACAATACTGTGGTGCAACTTGACTCAGTTTTTCTAAAAGAAGAGCTTTATCCATGGCAGAGAAAATGCACCTCTACTGCCCTGACTATTTGACTTTAATACCTTAGATATCTAAAACAAAAGACTATTGTTCAGGATAGAAAGAATATATAATTGTCAATACAAAAATGTATGGTAAAGCTTGACGACAAAAATACAATTGATTGAGAAACATGGCAAGGAGGGTAAAACAGTAATCAAAACTGCAAGTTATGCACAGAGCGTCTATGTGAGTTTCTATGTTTTGTTTTCCTCTTCTTTAAGGTACATGAGGTAAATTTCAGGGTCCAGGATTGCAGACCACCTGAATGGTGTTTAGCTTTTAAATGGAACATATTGCTCTTAGTTTAATATGTTTTAAGTGTTGGGTACGTCAACATATTTATTAAATGCCAGTTGTGCTTCACACATAGTGTACAAACCGTCCTGAAGACTAAATGTTGTTGCAAATGCCTGTGTATGCGCTGCTCATAACCCTCTCCCTTGCTCTCTGAGAGGAGATATATATATATATATATATATAAAATATACTCTACAGAATCTTAACATTCATGTTCAAAATCCTACCATTTTGTTCTATTTCTACTCATTATGTTTGTGCACATGATGTCCCATTTAAATCCGTATTTAGTGCAGTTTTTGTTTTCTTCAAAGAAATAAAACGCTTTCTCATAAGCTTGTTTTGAACTGTTTTTATCTCCATATCACAGCAGTCATCAGGCTTTTAGGTCTTCGGGGTTCACATTTATCATTTAATTCACCATCTTTAAGAATATAAATTAAATCAGACCAGTTAAGCAATTGTTTTAGAGTTTACCCAGTGCTTTCACAAGAAATTGAAGATAATTATATTTTCCCTCAAAGGGGGATCTTGGGAGAATGGTTTTAGTAAATCCCACAGTTAATAGCTTTGAAAAGTAGCACAAAAGGACACATGAATAGAGAGCTGGTGCTATTACAAACCAAGTGCTGGTGCAATCTGAAAATGTGCAAAACAATGAACCTTCTTTGAATGAGCTTTTGTTGATTTTTAGTACTTGAAGAACAATCAGTGATTGTGTTGCATTCTCTTGATCTTTAGCCAGATTTCCGACTCTCAGAAACGGAGTGCACTAAGGTATGAAGTACTGCAAGGTATCAGGGCAGCTGCTGTTGAACATGGTTTTGTTACTTTAAAGCAAAGCGATAATGGAGATTATTCCAGCTAGCATCACTAAAAACAACAGACGCCGTGGGTTTTCCCTGGAGTCGAGATTAAATCGATTTCCAAAAGTCTGCCAAGATTTCTAAATGTAGCATGTTCCAAAGCAGACGGAAATAAAAAGCTCTAAAAGATAAAAATGAGCAACTTTTCTGAACCCCACTGGCTATTTGGTAACTATCACTATCTTTCAGAATATAAATTATAAACATATTCTTGCATATATGCTCCATCTCAATTAGTTTTGAAAATGTCACTGTCGCCAGAAATGTCTTAGTTTGAAAATGGAAAAAGTAAATTCACTGTTGCTTGATATATATTTATTTTATGGTTTTGTGTTACTGATCTGTTTTATTTCTAATTGGAAAAAAAAAATAATCCAGTGTTTAAGTTTTCAGCCTGCAGGTCGTTTCATCTCCTCTTTCTGTGTTTCTGTTCATACAGGAACAAGTCCACAAGACAGCCCAAGAAATTTCTCCCCCAGTGCCTCTGCTCATTTCTCTTTTGCACGAAGGTAAAGGGAACCTAGATACGGTCATATATTTCAAAAATTAATCCAGGTCTGTAGCCGTTTTGTCGAGACTCATGAGTGTTTTCTGTGCGAGCTCGTGTATAAAGTATTCAACTTTTCTATATTTATATTTTCAAAAATGGCATCCATCATGAGTCCTGTAATTTTGTATTTTTTTTTTATTATAATCCACAGTCATTGCCACAGAGCAGACAGGTAACTTGAAGCTAGGCTTTCACTTCTAAATGGAAAATAAAACATTAACCCCACATTTGTCTGGAGTTCCTCCCTGCTTCATAAGTCTCACTTTAACACTGCAGTTTTACTCATTGAGCCATCTACATTTAATTCTACATTTATTTACTTGTCATTTTTTTTTATTTATTATGTCTACGAATTAACTAGTAGATTTCATTAAAAAAAAAAAAAAAAAAAGCATCTGTTTTAAAATCCATCTCCAACTTCGTCGACCGTTCAGGTTTTAGAAGTTTTCCCATGTTTTGGTTACAAACATGGGAGCGTCTTGTTTGAACCCAAGCATGTCGAGTTTGTCTGTTAAAGGTCAAAGGTCTTCTGTTTTAACGATTGGGACACTCCTCAGCGTTTTTGTTGCTGTTTTGCGACAGGACCGATGGCCGCCGCTGGTCCCTGGCCTCCCTGCCGTCCTCTGGATATGGAACCAACACGCCCAGCTCCACCATCTCTGTAAGCATCAGGCGCCTGTAATTCACACAACAGCAACAAACCAAAAATGAAACTGACTGGTGGATTTTCAGTTTTAAAGCCCTCCCGTGTTAATAATTTGTAGAAACAACTTTTGTATTTTAGATTTCTATTGGCTTTTCACGTCACAGACTTGAAATTTCTGCCCATGTTTCTTTGCATAATAACTCAATCTCTGTCAGATTACATTAAGAGCATCGACTGGCCGCAGATTCTCGATTGGATTTAGGTCTGGAATAGGCAGAAATACTGTATCTTTGTCTAAAGTGGCCATAGGTGGCAATGAGATAATGGAGCAACTTCTCCTCCAGTGTTTATGATCCATCAAACATCAGTTTATGTTTTTACTTCTTCTTCATTTAACTCAAACCAATCTAATTATACTCCCTCAGTCTAAGAAGAACATTGACCTGCTGAAAAGGTTGTTACTGCCACCAGGGAGAGAACAAAAATGTGCAGGATGCCGGCCCTCGAGGACCCACTTTGGGCACCCCTGGTTTACAGCAGTGCATGTTAGAGTAAAAAATCCATCTGAACCAGATTAAGTGTTACTACAATGCCGCATGTCTCTCTTATTCTCTATAAATCGGATTTAAAAAAACCTAAAGTACATTTGTAGGCTCAATGCTCCTCAGATTCTGCTTTTTCTTTAAATTACAGAATCTGAGAAACAGTTTAATCCAGCCTTTAGCTCGTTGAATGGCCTTAATGGTAACCATGAACCGACTCTTACAAGTTTTCCATTTGAGATTTCTCGTATCTGTGTTCCTCGACCTTTATGTTGGTCACTAATGTTTTCTAACAAACCTCAAAAGCCTCCACAAGACAGGTATTTATTTAGAAATCCACTTACACTCGGAGACTCTTATTTACTAATCATTTGACTTCTAATGGTAATTTGTTGCTTGGGTATGTTACAGTAAACATCTGTCACCATTTAAAACCGTTCTTGGTTTCTCATTGTTCTTGTCACAATGCAAAATAATTACTTTGTCTTTGTGTACCTGATAGACCTCATTATGTCAAATCATAACAAACTGGCTTGATGCATCAAAATCTGTTATCAATACTTTTTTTTCTTCAAAATAGTTTCACTATCCTTTTCTTTAACTCTTTTAAATTATATATTTTTAACTATTTCTACCACTTTTAGGAAGCATATTAAAATATGTCAACGCGCGTCAACAAACACTTACAGCATCAAAGATGTTTCACTGGAACTGAAAGGTTCAAGTTGATTATATTTAATTATTTTCCAGATGGTGCTTTTATTTATTAAATTTTTTGCTTTCCATGGTGAAAGTTGATTTCATTTCTACTGTTTTCATTCATTGTCTGTTTAACTATTTGCTTGGGTTCATTGAAGAACTCGTTCTTCTATTTACTCTGTCATACCAAGATCTTTTGGTTCTAGTTCTACATTAGATCAGATTTTTATCCAGCTGAGATTAAAAATTGTGTCTGAAGACAAAACAATGTGTTTCTCTAATCAATGAAATGAAATATTAACAGTTAACATAATCTACTTTAAATACCCATTGATTCACTCTGAGCAGTAGAACAATGGAAACCAGCTGGAATGTCAAACATCACATTAATAATTAAAGCACTGCATTCATTTTTTAATGTCGGCTTTATTAACATAAAGCGTGAATAAATCAGCCAGCAGTCGTCAACATCTTAAAGGAAAAGTTGTGGGTTTGTATGTTCTATATGAAACAGCTCAATCATAGTCACAAAAATTATGAAAGTGTAAATGTTTATTTTCCCTAAACAAAATGCTAAAATCATTCTGGAACATATTACCTGGCTTTTTTTTAAATAGTTTTTGAACTTGAATCTATCTCTTTTTTTTTTTAATTTAAAAAAAGAAAAAGTTAAACATTTTCTTTGAAAAATGATGCACTTTGGTTTTCTTGATAGTTTATAATACTAATTTCTAGGTAATTTTTGAGAAATTTGCTCATTTTCCACTTTTTAAGTGCTTCATGGTTGAGAACAATATCAAACTCAAAACTTATATTTCAAATTCAAAAAAGGCTCAAGTTGCTTACAATAATAGTCAAATTAAGGTAATTTATTATTGTTTGAAGACTGTTCAGCCTCCCACAGAGGCAGTAATATTTACAATACAGACCTTAGAAAACTATTGATTTCATTTTTTTTAAAAAAAGCCAGATTAGTAACAAACATGGCAGTTCAGTATTCTTCATCTTTATTACAGGGAAAAAAAACACCATCTCTTTATTTTTTTCTTTTCCTTTTCATGTTGAATATATATTTGTTTCATTTTCAGTCATCCTGTTCATCACAGGAGAAGCTGCACCAGCTGCCCTTCCAGCCTACGCCAGATGAACTGTATCTCCTCTCCAAGCACTTCTGCACCGAGAGCATCTCCGGGGACGAATGCCGCAGAGCGACGGCCATGCGACCCCGCTCACGCAGTCTCAGGTATCCGAATCATCTTTACACCACCGAAACCTTTCATAGTCTGCACTGAAAACCCGCCCTGCAATAACCGCATGACGCATTTTCAGCCCTGGAAGATCTCCATCCTGTTACGACCATGAGATCATCATGATGAACCACGTCTACAAGGAGCGGTTCCCTAAGGTGAGTGGCCCCCCGCCAGTAGCCGCGCTCTCAGCTGAAGATCTTCCACTTCAACTGAAAGATGCTCCGCAACCTCCTCACGTTACAGGCCACCGCTCAGATGGAGGAAAAGATTCAGGAAATCATCCGCAGCAACTCCCCGGAGAGCGTCCTCCCTCTGGCAGATGGCGTGCTTGGCTTCGCCCACCACCAGATAATTGAACTGGCGCGGGACTGTCTGGAAAAGAGCCGGCTCGGTCTCATCACGTCCAGCTACTTCTGCGAACTCACCGACAAACTGGAGAAACTTGTTCAAGAGGTAGGGTGCTTTTTAAAAAATGTGAAGTTTTCAGAAAACTCTATTAGGGTGCATTCACTCCATCCCTGTTTAGTCGGGTTTCATTGAACTCTAGTGAGTTTGACTAGAAAGTCCGGTTTGTTTGGAGAGGTGTGAGTGCAACTGAACCCTGATGCAGACCAAAGGAGCAAATCCTGATCCGCCTTAAAACTTAGGTCTAGGTTCGGTTGAAGTGAACTCTGGGGCAATTTGAGTCCATATAAATGAAAAACTTATATGCAGACTGCTCCAAAAGCAGGACACAGACTATAGAGTAGGGCATTCTGGGTAAACACCACCAATACAAACCCGCTAGTGGGAGAAATGGCTCATGATGTTTTATCAAAGGCAAAAGAGAAAACCAATAGCTGCTAAAATTTGACTCCTTTCTACTTTTGTTTACCTTTCATGAAGGAGGAAGTTGCGCTCAGTGTCTTCTTCAGTGGTTTTTGAGTTGTTTCCTTCAGTGGTTCTTGGTGCAGCGCCACCACAGGCGAGGAGGGGAACAGGTTTTTTTTAAACAGTTTGCTGAAAATGTAACAAATGTTGCAATTTTGATCCCCAAAATGTGAATTTCTACACCCTTCATTTTTCATTTTACTCCTGTTTCATACTGACAGCAAAGTTACAGCTAAATAAAAAAGGACAAAGTGTATACTTGAAGAGTATCTCTCCATTTTTTACAGAGTTTTACCAAAGCGTCTCTGATTTATGTGATGCAGCATATGCGTGTGACGGTTTCTTATCCTGTTGGTTGCTCTGAAGTCCACAGAGAGGTCAGAAAGTGAGGAGGTTGACTTCATCAGAGAGCTGGCAAAGAAGATCCTCATTGTGATAGCTCGGCCTGCTCGGCTGCTGGAATGTCTGGTACGTAAACAACTTCTGATACGCAAACTTCCCCAGGCTTCAGCATTTTTCTTATTATCTGTCTTACATTTACATTTTTCAACAAAAATTGAAAAGCTATTGTTTTTTAATAGAAAACTAGGAGCAGCATGCAGCACCTTCCTCAATTAGACACTCCGTATGTGTAAAGCTGTGTAAATAACTTTTTTTTGTTATTACTGCAGTAGCCTAATCTCCTGCTTAAAACCTTTATTTTATTAGTGGTAAAAGAAGGAGGCAAGAAGTAAAGTACAAACAATTGTTTTGACTAAACTGTCTCTATAAATGAAGCTAATTTTAAATGTATATTTTACTGTCTTATGTCATCAATGTGTCGAAGAACTTTTAATGGGTAGTCCCTGACTTCCTGTTTTTTGTTTTGTTTGTTTTGTTTTTTAAGAATGAATCTGATAAGACATAAAAGCCCCTTTATCTTTACCACTTTTCAAAACGGGAAAGACAAGAGAACATGTTATTTAAGTAAGATAAATGTATATTAATCTTAATAAATCAGGAGAACAGCTGTTTGATGAAATCTGCCTATATCTGGAACCAAAACAACCACAACAACCACTGCTCACACACAGCAAGCAGTTTGGAAATAAAACATATTGAGCACTTACTTTACCCTATTTTTTTCTACATTAGTACGATTTTGACCCACTTTACATGAATTGACATCATTTTGAAATAAGGCATTTCAGTATGCTGACAATTACACAGTGTTCATACATCCAGCTCAGTATTTTTAGATGCATCTCTCCTGTTTTTAAAAGTGCAAAAGATAAATAATACATTTGGAATCCAAGCTGTTCAATACATTGAATGACTCTAACTTCACTTCATGTTCACACCTGATTTATAGTTTTTAGCCTCGTCTTTGAGGCACTGTGCATAATTTAAGGGGTTTTTTAATGATGAAATACTTAATTATTGTTGAATATTTTAATAATTAGCAAAACAAGAAAGTTGCGTAATGTATCCTTCCAGCTCCCCGGCGTACTCTGCAGGCTTTACACTGAAGTTGGGTCTCTGTGTTTCCAGGAATTTGACCCAGAGGAGTTTTACCACCTTCTGGAAGCAGCTGAAGGACATGCTAAAGAAGGCCAAGGCATCAAAACGGACATCCCTCGTTACATCATCAGCCAGCTGGGACTCACACGAGATCCTCTAGAGGGTACCGGATGTTTCATCATCATCGTCAGCGCTAACATAATCTAATGCAAAAAGACTCATTAGAGCTGTTAAATATGAAATGTGTGTTGTTCTTATCCTGTAGGATTGTTGTTCCTGCTGAATTATGGCTCTAAATGAATGAATCAATTGAAGACTTATTTTTTCTTGAAGTACGCGAAAACCAAACAGACCATTTGCCTAATGGCCTTCTGTCTCTGCATATTCAGTAACCAACAGCATTCATTATGACTAATTAGAAAAGAATGGCCTCCCCACAGAGCCACACAAGCTGGCACATCAGCCAGACTACTTTACCCCGCCGAGCGTCTCCTGTGTTTGGTTCAAACGCCACCTCAGGTGCTTACAGCGAAATCTTGGGAGGGACAGATGTTAAATAGCAGTGGAAATGTGTTTACCGGCTCTCTGGGGAGCTCACATGGCGGTTCACATTGTTGCACGCAAACAAAACCAAAACACGCACGACAGTATCTAACCGGCATTTGTTCCAGAGTGGTGATTTTCAAAATGGCCATCAGACGTGTGTTCTGATTTCTGCTCCATTTATTTTAAATTCCGGTTATCTTGGAGTCAGCAGCTCAAAGCTATTTAGCCAATAAACTCTTAAGTTTGGATTTTTTTGTGTGTTTTAAATGTGCTGATTTCTTGGCATTTAAGTTTTTCTTAAATGCCTTACATACACTTGCATGTATTCTTAACTTTAAATAGCTGCCTGAATTAAACTTTTAGTGTTTTTCTACTACTTTTCTTTTATACTAAATCAGCGTTTTATTCTTCATAGAAATTGCACAGCTGACCAGTAGTGACAGCGGCATTGCAGAAACTCCAGAAACAGACGACTCTGTACGTTTTAAGAAATATAATACTTTAAGATTTTTTAACTATTCTATATTTTAACTATATTTTTTTTTTACTATTTTTTTCTTTACCTTCTTGTCCTCAGTCTCAGAGTCTCAGCACTGTCTTGCGTTCCCGACGGAAACCCTGCGAATTGGACTTTGAGATGATAAAACTCATCAGCAACGGTGCTTATGGGTAAGAAAATATAAAACTAATAGGTTACAGGAAAATATTTTTCCAATAATTTTTCATCAACTGAAAATGAACCATTTTGAAAGCTTTTTCTGCTCCTTACTGTTGCACCGTTTTACTCCGCAGAGCTGTTTATTTAGTTCGGCACAAGGAAACCAAGCAGAGGTTCGCCATGAAGAAAATCAACAAGCAGAATCTGATGCTGCGGAATCAGATACAGCAGGCCTTTGTGGAGAGAGACATCCTCACCTTTGCCGAAAATCCCTTTGTTGTCTCCATGTACTGCTCCTTTGAGACACGGCGGCACCTGTGCATGGTGATGGAGTATGTCGAAGGTCAGCTGCAGCCGAGTTCAAAGGCTTCTGTTTTCCTTCTATTGCATGTTTATATTCATTGATTTTTTTATTTATTATTTTTTTCCCCTCTCAGGAGGAGATTGCGCCACCCTGTTGAAAAACATGGGTCCCCTGCCGGTGGATATGGCCAGGATGTATTTTGCAGAAACTGTTCTTGCTCTGGAATATCTTCACAACTACGGCATCGTCCACAGGGATCTGAAACCTGACAAGTGAGAACTTGATGTATTAAGCCAGAGATGGAACTGAAGCTGATATTGTACAGTTCATTTGAACTGTGTGGACAAACTCCTTACTGTTTTCTCACTTTCTCTTTCACACTTTAAACAGTTGAGTAGCTTTGTGGCCAGACAATGTAAGGAGGGCCACAGAAATAAGTTTGACTCGTGCTCTAAAAGCTTTTCTCCCAGGACTGACCTAATTTTGTCTCCATCCATCTTCTCATCCAATCCCTGCTGCAGAAAAGCATTCCCAAAGCATGATGCTGCCAACATTTTCCTTCCATTTCATAACAATGTCATACTTTATGTTGGTCTATCAAATTATATGCCAAACAACTACATGTATGTTTTTGTTTCATCATTGCAAAATCTGAAAACGTTCAAGATGTACAAAAAGTTTTGCATGCATGACTTATGTATTGATTTTACTCAATTAAACTGAAATGTTAAGATTATAACTCTCACACGCTTAAAGATGTACCATTTATAACTCATTCTCCTTCTAGTTAGACATATCAATCATCACTTTCCAGTTTTAATTACATTTTTTTTTTCTATCTGCCTTCACATTCTCTCAGTCTGCTGGTGACGTCGATGGGCCACATCAAACTGACCGACTTTGGCCTCTCTAAAGTTGGCCTGATGAACATGACCACCAACCTGTATGAGGGACACATAGAGAAAGATGCCAGGGAGTTCTCAGACAAGCAGGTGAATGTCTCTCAACTCTCTGTCCTCTCCGGTTCGATCACGTATCGTTGCACAGATCGTTGAGGTGTGGATTTCTTTGTGCGTCTTGTTGTTTGCAGGTGTGTGGAACCCCGGAGTACATCGCTCCAGAAGTCATCCTGAGGCAAGGCTACGGGAAGCCGGTGGACTGGTGGGCCATGGGCATCATCCTCTACGAGTTCCTTGTGGGCTGCGTGCCGTTTTTTGGAGACACACCAGAGGATTTGTTTGGACAGGTCATAAGCGGTCAGTGTTACCAAAGTATTTTTTTTTCTGTTTAATATTTAATTCGTTTTGATTACCAGGCATCTGTAGAGTTTAGTCAGCTGTTTAATTTAAGTCTGTTCAAACAAGGATTTATGTAAAACTTTCAAAATAAAAGCCTGGACAGCAGACGGGAGCAGGTTTTGGGGTCAAATGTTTCCAGGAATACAATTTTCTTTTTCACACAAATTTATCCTCAGTCCTTAATAATGCTGTCAGTAATGAAGTTCGGTTGATTTTTTTTTTCTACCATTACATTTGATTGTTGAGGAAATCCTTTTCCATTTTAGACAATATAATGTAACTGAAAGTAGAAAAAAATTATCCCTGCCTTTTGTTGATTTTGTCTTATAAATCATCTTCTTGTACAATTTAAAGATTTTTTTTTTTTGCAACCTGGTAGTTAAACAAATTTGATACATTGAGTTTTGGTGTGTTGATTTCTTTTATTATTCCCTGTTTTTGTATATCTCTGTCTACTAGTACAGATCTTAATTGCACAAAATTCAAATTATTATTTTTTACCTTTAAAGCAGTGAATAATGCTTAAGTCTTTCCTTTAAAACAGGGTTTTACTAATATTAAAAAAAAAGAAAAAAAAAAAGAATGTCCCTGAAGTCTTTAGCGTCTTGTATCAGTTAGCTGACATGATTAGGTCACTGTGCTTATTCTCTGTTCAGCATAATTCTGAGTTTTGCCAAAGGCAGCAAACATTTCCAAATTCATAATCTTCCCTGACAGATGTTGAAGGCTCAAAGTGATGAAACTGCAACTTTGCTGTTCAGCCTCCCTTTTATCTGCTGAAAGCTTCACTCTCTCCCATCTGACTGTAGCCTGTGTGGATATGAAACCAATCTAGACATGTTGTAGAAAATACCTTTATTTTGAACGGCAAGTTATTCCGAATCGAGAGAAAAGAAATCCCAAAAATCGCATTTCGACAGACACCACGGCAGCTCGATACTCTCTCCAAGTCTTGCAATCCTATTGTTGTCCACATCATGCACGACACTGACTGAAGCTGGGACCCAGTCAAAGGGAAAATCTAACAAACAAGTGTAGTCGATGCTCCACAGGCCCGGCCTCATCCCAGAACAAAACTCTGCTCAGTCTGAGCATATTTGCATGCAGCTGTTGGGGTTTAGCTCTAAGCACCGGCATGGCGACATGAAGCCTCGGAGGTCTGGTTATGCTTCTGCCAACAACTCAGAGCTGTTCATTTTGCATGCATACATGAGATTTTGGCTGATTTATTCTCATACATTAAAGAATTACTCACATTATATACATGTCCTCAAAATATCCCATCTTTGCATTACATTTATCAGTTAAAAGAAGAGTATTTTAGCAGTGCATTCAAAATCAAAGTGGAAGACACTCTTTCTGAAGCAGGAGCTGCTTTGCTCAGAGATGAATCTTTATGCATAGTGACTAGGAATGTCCCCGATCTGATATTAATGTCGGAAATTGGCCTGATATGAGTATCGGATTATTTCGACCTGCATCTAAAATCTCTGAAATAAATACACTGATAGGAGCACTCCGCTCCAGCATTTAGTCCAGTCCAACATTTAGTCCGCTCCAACATTTAGTCCGCCCCAGCATTTCTGTCCAGCAGCGCTTGTGTCCCACACACACAGACTCACTGGTTAACAATAAATGAGTCAGCTGTCCTCATACCAATTGTTGACTATTGTTCTCTGTTTATATAATATCACTTGATCAAGCCTTTTCTAACATTGCACACTACAAAATAAGTCATTAAAGTGTGTATGATTCGTGCTGATAACGTATCGGGTCAATATCGGTAGGCCTGTCACAATAACAAATTTTGCTTGATGGTAAATAGTTCTGGAAGTTGTTGTGATTAATGATATTGTTGTTTCAAGACCATTTTCAAGTAATATAATAGTAATGGCATAATAATGCAAGAACACATTCTCAAAGATCAATTAACTTTAAATGCTAATGAACATTTAACACCGGAGGTGGAAGACATTTTAAATACAAAAAATAAATAAACAAATCAGAAACGACAAATAAAAATAATGACCAAGTCTCTGTAAACAAAAAGAAAGGACTAGTTGAGGCCAAAGAAGCAGTTGGAAGATTTTTATCATCCAGTTTTTGGAAGAAAGAGAAAAGAGAAAAACAATAAATCATGCAAATGGAAATTATTTCGTGTTTTTTTTTTTTACTTTAACATGCTATTGATTTATTGTGACAAGCCTAATTATCAGTATCAATCAATACTCAAAGATGCAATATCAGTATCGTATCGGAAGTGAAAACGTTGCATCGGGACACCCCCAGTAGTGACCGCATTCATTTTGTTGATTTTACTGAAGGCTGACATTCCTCCGGTGGCTTTTACAAAAACAGACACCGCACAGTGACTCTCGTTTCGTCTGGAGACCGCATGTCAAGTATAAACATTATGATTCATCTTCCTGAAAACATGAGTTGTTGTCAGTTCTGCAGTTTCCAGCGAATCGCGTCGCTGTATGTTCAGCCGCAGGATAGCCGCCATCGTGTGGGACGTGGAAATGAATGGCACGCCATAACGGATTTGGTTTGCTCTCAATCAAGCGACACGCCAAGCCTCTGAGGGTAACTGTTAATTAAAGAGGCCTGAATACTCTCCACCGTGGCCTCAGGATGCACATACATATTCATAGCCTGTGTCCAGATTTGATTAAAATGCCGCTTAAAGTCGACAATCGGCGTGACACAGGCGGGGCTTTAAACATCTGTTCTCCACTTGTGAGACTTTTCACAGAAAATTAGAGCATGCAGAGATTTGTTCATTTTAATCCCTGCAATTCATTAAAAGGTTAAGTTGAATTTCCTGGTTGTGTCTCGAAAGGAGCTCTTGAAATTGAAAAGTTATGAATGTAAGGTGTAGCTTAGTTGTTTAGAGGAGAAAAAACCAAAAATCCAGCTTTTTGACTGATATGCCAGCCTGACATTCCAGGTGGTTTTTCAAATTGAACCATCTGGAAAGTTGTCAGTGCAGACACAGAGCAGTAAACACGACAACGAGAGACAGGCTGTCAATAAGAGCTGCCGCTGTTCACAACAGCAACGCCTGAAATGTGACTGCATCCCGTCGCAGGTCGCACTTATATCCAAACCGATGTCTCAAATTCAGAGATAGAGGAAAAAATGCAGAAATCAGCAGAACTGCACATCATTATAGAAGACATCCCAACTTTATTGAGTTTCAGGTAAAAGTTCGACCTGCATGTTATTGCACAAAAATAACATTGTGATAAGATTTCTGATTGTCTTTAGAGATGATTTGGCCTCGATTAACATTTTGACATTGTTGAATTCTGTACTAAATGTCTAGGGAATGACTTCTAAATAATATCAGCATTTACAGCAACATAAATCATACAATATACCGACTGACTAACTTCTGAATGCAGTTGGCCGCAGTGGATTTTGTTTAAGGGTATCAGAGTAAAGAGGGCTCATTACAAATAAAAATTGCGCTCATTAGATGTGCATTTCTTCAGACATCTAGAAAAGTCCAGATCCCGTTTAGGGCTGCACCGATTTTCAGTTTTCTGACTGATCGCCAAATTTAAATTTTTTTTTAAAAAACATGACCTGCCTGTTTCAATTTTGACCGATTACAATTATTATGTTTTTTTTCTTTAATAACCAACACTATCTGCTACAAGGTCACGACACACCTCCGATATACCAATCTTATGTTATTGAAAACTATTGTACAATACTCATGAAATAATACAAAGTTGATTTAACTGCACATGAGATGGTTCCTGTAGTGATTTTCTGACTTATTGATGGTAGATGAGATCGATTTCACCTGTACGTATTGGCTGATCAGCGATTGATCAGTGCACCCCTAATCCAGTTACTCAAAATTCTCAAAATTGTATAAATACTTTTGCAAGGCATTATATATGGGCTCCTACCCTGGTTGAATATTGACTTTGAGATGGAAAAAGTCAGTTTTCCATTTAAAATGCATATAAAAGCAAATTAACATGCTCCTTGTTTCAGGTGGTATTCTAACCAATTCTATGCACTGTTTGCAGATGAGATCAACTGGCCTGATGGTGAGGATGCTCCACCTCCTGACTCTCAGGAGCTCATCACCCTGCTGCTGAGGCAGAACCCTCTGGAGAGGATGGGAGCAGGTGAGAAACACTTTGACGCCTGCAGAACCGGTTCTCGTTTTCCACCTCGGCGCGGTTCGGTTCGTCGCTCTAAGCTGCAGGCTGAGGTCAGCTTACAGCAGAGTACTTTGTCCCGTGACCGGGCCTGAACTCTTCCCGCTCTGATCAATTGCAATTATTTCCTCGCTAGTGGATGAATCCAATTCCATGCATGGTCAGGCAGGTACTATGAGAATCTGCGGATTGTAAAAGCGACCACGACCCGACGGAAAGCCTTTTGTCATTTAGAGGACCAAATGTCTGCTGCTGTTGCGCTGAAAGGTCACAGGCAGGAAGTCCTCCAGCAGGATTTACGGTGGTCACATCGGTTTGTCCTGCAGCCACGAGGGTGAAAAAGGAAACGCAGCGTTAGCGGTCCTTCACCTCTTGTGTTAAACTGAAGTGTTAGGGATTTTTTTTCTCATGCTCTTCTTTTTATTTTTCTTCTTTAGGGTAGGGTTAGGGTCTTCTTTTCACTTTGTCCCTATAAAACTTGTGTTGATCCCACCAACAGGAGGAGCATCGGAAGTGAAGCAACATCAGTTTTTCCACAACCTGGACTGGAACGGCCTGCTGAGACAGAAGGCTGAGTTCATCCCTCAGCTGGAGTCTGAAGACGACACCAGCTACTTCGACAGTGAGTCAAAACGGAAAACATGAGCAGACTTTGTGTGCTAAGGCAGCATTAAATAAAGCAGCTTTTATAAAGATTTTTTATAAAGCATGCGAGTTTTATAAAAAAAAACCTTGCATGTTTTTTAAAATAATTTATCAAGAAACTTGCATTTTTGTTTTATAAAGCTTACATGCATTATCCATCTAAAAAAATCATGTTTTTTTCTTGAGTTTTTCTTTTTACATATAAAAACAAGATTTTTGTAAAAGCTTAGAAAAGAAAAACGTTCCATTTGTAATATTTTTGCCACATTACAATCTCTGAATTCATTCTATTTTATTGGCATTTTATCTAATATATCAACATAAAAAAGTACAATATTTTAAAGTGAAGGTAAAAGAAAACCTGCTTCTAATTTTTTCCAACTACAAATCTTAAAAAAAAAAAAAAAAAAAAAAAAAAGCGAGAGGGTTTAACCAAATGTACTTTTGGACATCTCGCAAAGCTCTGTTCAGTCCTTCATCTGAAAATGCAAAGTTGCCATTAAAAAAATTCTCCTCTGCTCAAAGGGAGTCCAAAAACAAAACATGTGGCTGCATAATATTTCTGCACAACACCCTAAAGATAACTTAAACAGTTCCACATGACATTGGCAGCATCATGCTGTGGGGTTGCTTATTGTAGTCAAAATCGTAATATTTAGATCTAGGAAGCTAAATACATGTCGGTACTGGCAGAAAACATGAATTTGAGGCTGGAGTATCAATACTTTGCTTACTCACAATTACAGTCCTAAAAAAGCTTGTTAATGATGGCTTTTTATTTAGTGAAGTTACCGATTTGATTGAAGCTCCACAAGTCCAAAAGTCTGCAGTTTCACTTTTCTTTATTTCTCATCCATTTTAAGAAAAGTCGTGAAGATTTCTTGGTAGAAAATGCTGAACGGGAGCCGAAGAAATAGAGATTTAAGAGCACAACCCGAGCCAAGGCCAACCTTTGTTTTGCTCTGCTGCCTGTCTCTCTGCTTAGCGTCTGAAAACGAGGCTTTGTGGCTGACAGAAATCAAAACTGCTGCTCTCTACCCAAGTTCTTTCCTTGGCAAATAAATGACCTGTAAGAAAGGAAAAACAAACTGTGGAGAAAAAGAATTAAGCTTAAAACCTCCCTCCTTTTCAGCTCGCTCCGAGAGATATCACCACCTGGAGACGGAGGAAGACGACACAAACGATGAAGACTTCAACGTGGAGCTGCGGCAGTTCTCCTCCTGCTCTCACAGATTCTCTAAGGTGCCTCTTTAATCTCTGATCTTTGCGTGGCTCTGGTCTCACACCGGCAACGTAAATGAGCCGATATCCTCATCTGTCCCATCGTTCCTTTTGGGGTTTCACAGAAATCTTCACCTAAAAATCCTGCTTTCATTCCTGCTTGTTCTCTACTAACCCCCCCCCCCCAACACCACCACCACCACCACCCCCACCTCCCCGTTGTATTGAACATTTATTTCATACATTCGCTGCGTAGATTTTCTGCTTGTAAATCAGACCTGTTTTCCTAGTAGTGTGCGAACGGCACACAGTCCAGTCCCTCATGCTGGGAGTCGTGCTGCATTGCAGTAAGCACTCCTCTCACATCAAAACAAAAACATTACAGCGAGTCTCAAAAAGCAGCGCGGCGTCTCAGAGGAATCGCTCTGAATGGTTTCACCTCAGCTGCACATTTGTCAGATGCGATAAGCTCTGCGTAACAAACAATTACACCTTTGTTTGTTTAATCTTAAAGATTGTTGTACTTTTTGATGCATTTCGTTGTAGATTTTTTAATTCTTTTTGCCTGAGAGTAATGAAGTGAACTGTTTGTTTGTTACCGTCAGGTCTACAGTAGCTTGGATTTGTCCCGAGGACATCTGGAGGAGAAGGGAGAGACGGAGGAGAAGAAGAGTGAGAGCCCGCTCACTGTGGACTCCCTAAGCTGGACGCCAGACTTTGCTGAAATGTAGGCGTATTTCCATCTGCGCAGAAGGAGTTTAAACAGATAAACACCACCTGACTGACTGCATCAGCGCATCTTTAAAAAGTCTTATCTTAAAAATTAAGTTGACCTTTTAATTTGTTAATCACAGGTCTTAAATTTTGTCTGGACATGACAAAATGGACTTTTCTGTCGGGCAAAAGTTTGAGTCACACTCAGACATCTACACTGTGTTTTATTATCAGGCTAAAGACATGATAATAAAATAATAAATACATTTATTATGTCCATAATTGAACCTACTGTTAACTCAATGCTAACATACCCATGCTAGCTAGCTATCTAGCTTGCTAGCTAACCTTTTTTGCGCCAGTCATTGCTGGACTAGGTTCGTACATTTCTAAGGAGATACAGGTCTTAAATCCCTCTCATAATGGCCTTAAAAACGCCTTTGAAAGTCTTAAATTTAAGTTTGTGAAGCCTCCAGAATTCCTGTAAACAATCTTCTCCAGCGTTGTTTGATTAGCTCATAAGGGTCCGTTGTCCTTTTATCCAGGCCCTCGCTGTCCCACTCGACAGACACGGACAGTACCAACCAGGTCCCCCGGCCCGCTTTGCTCCCGAAGTTCGCCATCTCCGCTGAGAGCGAAGGGGACGACACCTCGGGCCTCAGCGACCCCAGCAAGGTCTCCTTCTCCATCGGAGAGCTGCCACAGGACGAGCCTGATGCCGTCACGCCCGGCAGCACTCACAGCGGAGCCACGCTGTCTGGTACGAGTTAACGCCGCCGCGCAGAAACATGACGTCTGACTTTGGTTTTCTGATAAAATAAAGGTTTCAGTATTGGGGCTTGTTCTTTTTAATATTTTACTTGATTAGTTTGAGATACTTTCTGATTAATTTGTATCATTGATCTGGAAAGCAGATAAAATAATGCAAGTTTTTTTTTTTTCTTTAGGATAGTTTAATAGATCTGCTTATTAAATTATTAGAGAACTGAACAATTAAAGCAACATATCCTAGCGAATTTAGAAAACAAGATTTTCCAAATGATGGCAACATTTGCAAAAGACCAGCATGTTCAACGACGGAGGTAGAAAACTGAAAAAGATCAAATGGAGCAGGCTTGATGTACCAAGTTCCCTTTTGTTTTTTGTTTTTTATCTCTTTGCTTCCTCCAACCTTATTGATGCTAAAACCAGTCCAGTGGTTGATGATTGCTTTCACAATGGTGGTTAAACTAATTAATAATGATTAATCATTTCAGCTGTAGATCCTTAACTCCTTAGTAATTGAGTCAATCTGTTTTTATTCTTATAGATTATTGAGTCTCATACTATTAAAGCATGAAAAAGATATTAATCTTTTCTCTCTCTCAACAAGAGCAGGAGCAACTTTGATTTAACCACCCCTACAATAAATGTCGCTTTTTTTTCCTCATCCAAATGCCACTTTAGTAGCAACCTCCTTAATGTCTTTGTCTGCAAACTGTTTGCACTTTTTAGGAAGCTTCTCTGAGCACCTGGACCAGTTGACGCCCAGAAGTGAGGAGGTAAAAGTCCCTGACGGCTCCAGCCAGGCCCCCACAGATCAGGCGCCTCCGACGCCCTCCCTGCGACCAGAAGCCGCCGCAGAGAAGACCAGACCTTTGTCCAGAGTTCCCAAGTCCGTCTCAACCGGAGCCCTCTCCCTAATGATCCCTGCTGGTAAGTCACAGAGACGGTGCACAATCAAATACTGGTTTCCACTGCAAAGACACATTTCTCACAGTGAGCTCTTAGCTATAACGTATCATATCAGAGCCGAGCGCCTCGGAGAAAGCTCTTTATAGATCTGTGCAGAATTGGCCCAGCTTGACATCTGCTGCGAGATCCATTTTCCAGACCGACTGTGAGCAAACAGGCGAGTCCAAGCCAATAATGAACAGAATTCACAGTTAGGCCTGCGGGGGCAAGAGATCCTTGCTGCTGGGAGAGAAAATCCCATTAGCCTCATCGCGTCAGCTCCAGTACCAACTCCAGGCCTGGTTTAGGTCCGATTGATTAAATAAGAGAAGCCTCTCAGGTGGTGGTTGTTTATTTTCCCAGATATCTTTGGGGCGTCTCCACTCGCCAGCCCTCTCTCTCCGTACTCCCTCTCCTCGGACCCGTCCTCCAGAGACTCGTCTCCCAGCAGAGACTCGTCTCTCTGCACCACAAACCCACGGCAGCCCATCATTATCCACAGCTCCGGGAAGAAGTTTGGCTTCACGCTGAGGGCAATCAGGGTGTACGCCTGCGACAGCGACATGTACACAGTCTATCACATGGTCTGGGTAAGGAACGTTGCATGCTACAGACTTTTTAAGCTGGCGTTCTGTTAAAACAAACAAATAGTTTTGAGATGAAAACATGGTTGTTTTGACTATTTCTGGTTGTTTTTTCAGAACGTAGAAGATGCTGGACCGGCACATAAAGCAGGACTCAAAGCTGGAGACCTGATTACTCACGTGAATGGAGAACCAGTTCATGGTCTGGTCCACACAGAAGTGGTGGAGCTCCTGCTGAAGGTAATCAACACTGTGCCTTTAAACTGGGGCTGTACCATTACATGCTGGGTTTGTGCTCAGTTTACTTTAATCCACGAATCAGCTGAATCTGAATGAAAGTAATAAAAACTCCAGTTGTTTTGCATTAAATGTTTCTGCGGGAGAATAAGCAGCTTCCCTTCAACCTCAATTTAAAAACACAGAAACAAAATAAAGAAAAAACTGAAAAGTGTGGTGTGCTTATTTTTTGTTTGTTCTAGTCTCCTTGAACCAACACACCTTTCATTTCACTCAACTATTATCTCACCTTTAACTATTATCTGGTCATATTTTCATTAATTTATTAAGTTGGAATCAGATGATGATGATGATGAAGATGATGATAATACATTTATTTTTATTGACCTTTACAATAACCTCTAAGCTAAATAAAGTTCTTTATGGTGGTATAACATAGTACAATAAAGTCAAAATATAATACAAAAATGTCACACTATATGTTGAAAATATGTCTTGGGTCTTGATTTGATCTGAACTTTGACTAGGCCATTCTGACATATTCATATTCTATCTACTATGGTTATATAAATTAAATATTTTTTAAGCACATCTTACTCACATGAATTTTGTTTCTCTTTCAGAGTGGAAGCAAAGTGGCGATCTCTACCACTCCCTTTGAAAACACATCAATAAAAACGGGTCCAGCCAGGAGAAACAGCTACAGGAGCAAGATGGTGAGGTGTGGAAAGAAGCCCAAAAAGGAGAAGACACCAGAAAGGTAAATAATTTATATAAAACTGGACATATTTTATTTTTCTCTATATTGGGAATCTTATTAACTGTTTCTACCGTGAGAGTGTAGATGCAATAAAAGGTGAGTGGATGTTGCTTTTGCTTAAGATGAGGAATCAGAATCCTGCTGTTTCCCCAGTAATTGTCCTTCAGGAAGCTGCTCCTTGATTTCTTCTTTTTTATTATTATTAATCCTTTATTTATCCAGGAAAATCTCTTAGACTCATTCTCATTTACAACAGACACCTGTTACATATATCAATAACAAATAACATAAAACTGATTATACAATCTGCTTACCATGTCTTAAAACCAAAACCACCTAATTTCACTAATAGAAGTGCCTACAGACATATTTTCAATCTTTTTATTACAATTTTGAACTCCCCCTGGCCTTCAAGAATTTAACATAAGCATCGTGTATGAACCATGTTCCGACATTGGAAGTGTACAAAAATTGTTGGTGTTTAGTTGCATTGTCAAAATGTTTCCAGGTCTACAAAGCTTTTCCTTAACTTCAGCGGAAAACATCCAGAGGTTGTGGACTGCTTTGGTAAAAGTAATAATAACTAAGAAGTAAGAAGTTTAGTTTCAAGCCTTAAAAGATTTGACGAGCTCAACAAAATTAGTTGGTATTTTTTCCTCACTGTTTTTATTGAGCAGAATCTATTTGACAGAACCATGTTTAATGTATCTGGATTTAAATTAATTACTGGGTTTAATATTTATTCACTGTGGATTCTAAAGACTGTTTATTTACTTAGAGCAGTTCCCGTTCCAGGCTTTTTGAATGAAATGCTTACAAGGCCTTCACAGCTGCAGGTTTTTGAACCTCTATTCATTTAATAGATGAATGTGGTTCCTCCATTGTTTACATAGTAGCAATTTCCATCTGTGAATATTAACTTTCAAGTGTTGCTGTAGATTTTCAGTTGAATTTCGAGTCCGTACACATGAAAATGCTTTGATATAAACCATTTTATTTCAGCTTAGTCATTCGCCTGCCAGGAGGGAAACCTCGCCCAAGTCTTAAGTCTTTTTTTTACATTCTACCTTTCTTAAAGGATTACTCTGTATTTACTGAAACTCCACCCATCTACACATATCTGACCAGGTGCCTTTGATGTTGTACCATACCCTGAAAGAAGTTGATTTTATGTTGTGTTATTACAGTGAATTCAAATGTACAGCACGCTTTTTCAGATTTTTGTAAAAAATGTCAAGTCTTGTCATTTTTTCCCACTTATTATACACTACTTTGAATTGATTCAGCAAATTGAAATTCTAATTTTAATTAACACTATTGATTCCTGCTCATAGCTGTTTTTTGTGTTGACTTCTATAAAGTAGACTGATACTGAGGGTCTAAATATATATTATTGACCCATCTCTGCTTTTATGAAGCATCCTCATGAAGTTTTCATAAGAACGATGCGTTATTCTTAGTTTTTGTTTTGTTTTTGTTTTTTCAGGCGCCGCTCCCTTTTCAAACGTTTCGCCATGCAGCCTTCTCCTCTGCTCCACACGAGCCGCAGTTTCTCCTCCCTGAACCACTCTCTGTCGTCCGGCGAGAGTCTGCCCGGCTCCCCCACCCACAGCCTCTCCCCTCGCTCCCCCACCACCGCCCTCCGAACTGCACCGGATTTCACCCAGTCAGGTGGGAGAGTTGATCTCAACTTTTGACAAACACGTGACCTGCTTGTGGCTTTCGTTTACTGATGCGTACCGTGACTTGTGCTTGTGAATTTCAGGTGGCAACTCCTCCCAGAGCAGCTCCCCCAGCTCCAGCGCTCCGAACTCCCCTGCCGGCTCCGGCCACATCCGTCCTAGCACGTTGTACGGCCTCGGCCCCAAGCTGCCGAATCAGCGGCTCCGACAGGGGCGTCGAAAATCTGCCGGCAGCATCCCCCTCTCTCCTTTGGCCCGTACGCCTTCACCCACTCCGCAGCCAACGTCTCCCCAGCGCTCGCCCTCTCCGCTACTGAGTGGACATCCTGTAGCAATTTCAAAGGCGGCACAACCTTTCCCGGCCAAAATACACTCTCCTCCCACAATCGTCCGCCATATTGCTTGCCCTAAAAATGCAGAGCCTCCTCGCTCACCCCTGCTGAAGCGCGTTCAGTCCGAGGAGAAGCTGTCCCCGTCCTACGTGGGAGAGAAGAAGCACCTTTGTACCAGAAAACACAGCTTGGAAGTCACCCAGGAGGAGGTTCAGGACGAGGAGGTGAGAGCTTCTGAACGAGATCACACTACCCTGCAGAGCGTGGACGAAACGGCTAGCGAGCCGCTGCCCGTCAATCGCCTGCGGCCCGTTGAGCAAGGCTGCTTAAAGAGGCCCATTGGTCGTAAGGTAGGCCGACAGGAGTCTTTGGAGGAGCTTGACAAGGAGAAACTGAAATTCAAGATGGTGGTTAAAAGGCAGGACTGGTCAGAGAGGAGGGAGTCTCTGCAGAAGCAAGATGCTCTGCTTGAATCTGACTCATTACCTCCATGTGGCGATGAGAAGGATGAAAGTTTCCTTTTTCCAAACCAGAGCAAACCCCAGAGCAGCCCAGAGTCTGGTCTGGAGATTAAAGCTGTAAGCACAACGCTTAAAGATGTCCTCTACAAAAAACTCTCCACACGGGTCTCTGAGGGCTTTGCCGAAGCGTCAGGTGCCAGCTGTGAAGGCGAAGGAAGCACCCGGTCATCTCCCTGCACTCCCCACGCGGAGCGGCAGCTCACACGCCAGGGGAAAGACGCAGCGAAGCCCGACAGACTGGACTTCAAAGCTCCAAGCATAGAGTTCACCAGGAAGAGGCTGTCGTTTGAAGACAGAGAGGACTGCTTGTGTCGGCTGTCCTCCGGCCTCCACGAGAACCTTCACTTTGGCTCCATGAGGTCCAAGAGCCTCCAGCTGGACACAGTCGTGTCTCATGACCACATGAAGGGCAGCGTTCACTCAAATCCCGAAGGTCTAACCCCCAAGCTTTATTCGGGGAGGGAAGGGAGCGCCGTGGAGAAACTCCAGCTCATTTCCTCTGCCGAGTCTGCACTGAGGAAGACTTCATCAGAGTACAAACTCGAGGGACGCCACGTCTCCTCACTTAAGCCCCTGGAGGGGACTCTGGACATTGCTCTGCTTTCAGGGCCGAGGTTTTCCAAAACCGAGAGCTGCCTGTCCAAAATTGCAGACCACACCAGCGACACTCTCTCTCTGAGTCCATCGGTACGCCTCAAAAGTCCAACTGATAGACAGATCACCGTCCCCCAACTGAAGGCTGATAAGGTGAAAACCTCTCTGACCTGCTTGCCAAGTAATGAAGTTGTTTCGCCTGTAACCAGCGGAGTTGTCTCCAAAGAGCAGCCGAATACTGCAGCAGCAGACGTTAAAATTGCTTCAATCGTTGACAAGACACAAGACAGACACAGAGACTCATTAAAGCCTTCAGGAGTCAAACAAGATGGCCGTGCCGGTGTAAAGGCCTCATCATCTTTAGTTCATGACCTCAGAGGCCCCAGACACACCTCCCACTTCTCCTCCAGCGGGAAAACACCCTCTATACGGGAAGTGAGCAACGAAGATCAGGAGGACGAAGCGGAGCAAGAGGAAGTTTCGCCAAATACCGCATCACCAAATCAAAACGGGTCAGAAACTGTGTCATCTTTGAGTTCAGCGAGGCTAGAGGTAAACAGCACAACTCCTTCACATGTTGAGGTGGCTGGTAATGAAAGGCCACGAAGGCAGAGCACAAACTGTGGTTTGGATACGGGTCAGCATCAGAGTGCTGAGAAACCAATATCCGCTGTTAGCTCGGGGCAAGTACAGAACGTCCTCGCTCCTGAGCTCACTCCAGAGAATGTGCTTTCTAAACAGCAACCACTCAACATCTGTTCCTCAGACGCACAGGCAAGAGTTCCTGTCACAACATCAGCAATATCTTCCGAGTGTGATAATAAATCCAGCTGTTTAAATCCTGAAGTCACCTGCGGAACATCTGCTGACGCGGCGCTGCCTAGCAGAGGAACGAACATAGCGAGCTCTGAAATCAATACGGGCGCCTCCAAAATGGAGCAAATCACAAACACTTCCTTCAATCTTGCAACAAAAGAGAACATAAATGTGGACAGAAAAACTAACTCCGCACCTGCTGATGACTCACAGGACATGTTCCTGAAGAAACAACTTCCTACAATCTCGTCAAAGAACTCTGTGTGTTTGAAAGATGTTGGGCAATCCTCTAAACACTGTCCAGCTGAAAAAGCACAGCACAAACCATCGGATTCAGAGTTCAAGAAGGGAGCAAAGGAAAGCACTGCGGTCCAGCCTGCGAAACTCAAAGTTTCACCTACGAATGAAAATGCTTCGAGTCCTAAAGGTAAATCGAGGCCTGAACCCCTAACTGAAGGTTTTGCATCTATGAAGGATTCAAATCCACCTGAAGTAAAGTCTCACATTACAACTCCTCCAATCCCAAGCACAAAACACCCTAAGGAATCTAGAGGCAACACTACAAATGTTCAAGCAACTAAAGACATTAAACGTGGAGAGGTTTCATTGTCCGTCGGGTGTGGCACGAAGCTGGAAGAACCACCTCAGCCAACACAGTCACCCAAGCAAAAGGTGACCCAACCCAACGGTTCTTTTACCATAAAAGACAGCCCAGACACAAAGCCAAAACCCCTGCCTCCTAAAACCGCATCGTCAATTTCTCTTATCAAACAAAATCTGGATGCAAAACCAAAAGATCGTTCACCCAAAAGCCAGCCTCACCCTGATTCTAAACCAAAAGGTCGAATCTTGCCTCTCCCTTCACTTCAGCAGTCGTCAGAGGTTAGCCCTCCTCCCAACCCTCCACTGGTGCTGCCAAAGCCTGCAGTGAAAAAGGACACGTGCTTGGCGAGCCAAGGAGACGCCTTAGACAAGGTCAAGTGCGAGCCTGTGGTCAAGGGGTCTAAGGACGCGCTCAAACAAGACGGTCACAAGCCTCCGGACGCTCAAAACACAACCCCCCTTGACAAGCAGCTCTCGTCCGGCCGGAAGGAGCAGGCGGACAGGAAGAAAAAAGACGCTGTTCTAGAGGTCACGTCTGCGCAGAAAACCACAAAAAGGGACTCATCCCGGGTTTCTCCCTCTACGCTCAAAGAGACTTCAGATAAGGACGGTAGCAGGTGCAAGCAGCAGAAGGATTTACCCCGTAACTCCAGTAACAAGAAGTAAAAACACAAAGCAAGTTCAAATGATTTGTCAGCATCATCATGCCTTCTTTTTTTTTTTTCTTTCTTTTTTTTGGGAGGGGCGGGAGGGGTTTACTTGAGGACCGGCCAAGCTGTTACATGCCGATTCAGGTGTTGACATCTCTTAATTTGCTGATGACATTGGTGTTTTTCTCTCAAGTCAAATGAATGTGTGAAGGTTTGTTTGTTTTCCTCACCAAAGGCTTTGTGCAATCAGTACATCAGAGGCTGTAATGTGATGAAGAGATGAAGAGTCAGTGCCATAAAAGATTTCGAATTGCACTTTTACTTGTGGACTCGGAGGACCCGATGCCGAGGTCTTTTTAATGCAGTAGACCACATGATTTTACTAAGCAGTTTAGCTACCGGTGTTTTTTTTTGTTTTTTTTGTTTTTTTTTCTGCCTGGTATGATCCGCTTGATTCAAGTTTGTCGATCAGCGGGTGCTTGTTCACCTAAAACATTAAAATACAGAATCATGTTCTGGTTCATAGTGAAGGGGCCTTAGACATGTGGGGAAATAAAACCTCTTGCTGTTCTTAGCAAGGAGTTGCTTATTCACATTCCTTTGACATCTGTACATATATAGTTCTGATTTTTATGCAATATGGTGTAAATAATATACTGTAAAACAAAAGGGGTGGGGGGGAACATGGGCTTACAATGATTGTATTATATGTAAAGATTTTGCCGTATTATGTTTGTATTGCTCGACATGAAGACGTTCTGCTCTGTGGTCTGAAGTCTCATCCTCTCTGACGTCTGCCGTGTTTCAAAACTGACTTGAAGAGGGACAAAGTTTGAGGAGCTAAACTGGGCTATTTCTTTTAAATGTAGCATTATAAATAAATATAAATATATATTAAACTGTGAGGGCTATCAGCGTTTCCTAAGAATGTCTCTATCGTTAGTTTGGCGTGTTTGCAGGATAACTTGCAGTTTTGAAGAATGCTAAGCGATTGTTCAATTTGAAGGAGTAAACGAGCGCTTGTGTTGATTTAAATCCTTCAGGGGTTTTCATGTCGAGGACTTTTGCTCGACCACACGAGGAATGTGCCATCTGAAAGGGTCGGTGTTCAACTGTTTCGCTGTCAGGGTGTCTGTGCTGTCTTTGGTCAACCTTTAGCTTCACCTTAACGTGGTAAAAGAGTGTTAGCATTAGTTTATGTCCATGGCGTGCAAAACTACTCTGTACCACACCTACAGGCTGTCATGTATCCTTATTCACTCTTTGATTATTCATGCCATTAAATGACAAACCCTGTACGGCAAACTGAAATTAGCTTAGGACATTATTCTTAGCAGTATATACTGATTTATTGTTGTTTTTTTTATCTCTACCACTCATATAAAACCTATAAATTTACCTTGACACAAAGCATATCTAAATGTTCCACACCGTCTGCAGTAATTAATTGACTATAGGGATGTTATCGTGAGCCAATCAGATGTTTTCCTCGCATTAGATATCGTAAAGCTGTTGTAAGAAGCTGCACCTTAAATGTTTGATCACCGAGTTGATTATAAATTAGGAGCTAAAAGTAGAGCCGACACCTCGTTTTCATTTCCCCGTCTCCCCGTCTATGTTCTCAAGGCGACAGACGTCTAAAAGCACATTCAGTGTTTGTTTACAAAGCCTCATGGATGTATATTTTGTATATTGTTAATTTGCCAAATCTGTATTCTGTGTCTCAGATGATGTTGCTGATAGCCATGTGAGACCCTTGCTCCCCTGCCAGCAGGATATTCGTTTGTGCGGTAATCAGTGTTCTTTATGCGTCCAGTTCTTCTCGTCTGCTTGTCCCTTCAGGTCCCTTAGTTTCTCTGTGCAACACTGGTATTAGGTGAACTCGCTCTCTATGGTTTGTCTTTTAGAAAATGTGCAATAAAAGTGTTTTGCGTTTTTGTATTTTGCCCAAGAAAAGCTCTATGGATGTCATAGATGTTGTATATTAACAGATATTTATACTTCTAATGTTGCGTAATACTGAAAATAAAATGAGATTCTAAATGATCCGTTTTGTCTCCATTTGGTTTTCTTATGTGTGCCGATTTCTGTAAAGACGCATGTTTTGCTTACATTTTTGTGAAACTTGAGTGAAAATGCAAAGTTGACACTTATCCAAGATGCATTAAATGTCCTCAGTATGAGTTTAGAAAGTTGTTCCCTTAGCAGCGCAACGGAAGTATCTTTGTTTTGATCACAGAAAGATCCAACGAAAAGCTGAATTTAATAGTCCACTTTAATTCGGGGCTACACAGGTGACCTAAAAGGTGGAGAAGAGCAAAAAAAAAACATTTTTGAAGACCCATTTTCTGAGTCTAACAAAAAGAAATTATTTTGAGTTGAAAGTTGACTTGAATCTTATGTTTTGGAGTCATTTGTAAGTATAAAAATCTACATTAAAATGTTTTTATTTTATTTTATGTTTTTATTGCTTTTTCTTGCCCCTCATGAAACATATTTTTGATTCAGAGCAAAAAAAAATTATCTAATATGAAATATATTTCAACAACCATTAGAGTGAAGTTTTTTGGGGGGTTTCTTTGCGTAGGGCAAGTAAAAAAAATATTTTCTGTTATGGTGTTTAAGGCTTTTTTTTCTTCATCCAACATGCAAAAAAAGATTTAAACAAACAAAAAAAACATCTTTGGAGATTTTTCCAAGTATTGTTTTTGTGTGTGCGTACTTCGGCCTCAAAGGGAAAAAGAAAAAATATTTTCTCTCATTTTAGTATTTTTTTCTTCTCATCCAAAACACAAGAAGAAACTTGGTCTTATCCCAAGACTTTTTTTTCTTTTTTCTTTCTTAATTGACCCATGACAGGTAATTTGTAAACACAACTTTGTCCTCTCTTTTTTTTTTCTTTTTTTTTTTTGGCAGCACACTTTTTATTTTACACCCTAACTGAATAAAAAGAGAAGTTTCAGTCTAATTTAAAGTCACGCAGTGGTTTATATTTCAGCTCTATATGAACCAATAGTTGCTGTTCAGTTTTGGTGTCTCACCCTAACACATATGTCATGTATCCCAGCAGCCCACACTTCCTGTTTCAACCAGGGGATTTATTTCATCCAACAACTGTACCGAAGGGTTTAAATCCTATAAATCTGCAATAAATAAAATGGGTCAAACGATACTGCAGTGCCAGTAGGGGGCAGTATCTTTCTACTCCTGTGCCAGGGCGGGAGAAGTTAAAGTAGGTCTCCTGTTATGCAACATGTACAGAGAGAAGCTGCAGGGAAAATGAAGTCTTATAACGCAGCATATTTCCAGTAGCTTCCCTCACTCATTTCTCAAACTGTATGCAGCACAATAAAATGATATTAAGTCCCACAATCCTATGTTTTAATGTCAAATGTAATATTTTATAACTGAGAGTAAGTTTATCTTATTGAGCCTTACTCAGGGGGAGAGGGAGGATAAGAAAAAAATATGTATATCATATGATGTCACCATTATACCCACACTTCCATCACAAAGCAGTTTGCCTCCCTCAGCATTGTCCTCGCTTCTGTTGTCATCCCCGTTGCGGCCTTCTGTCTTCGGAGGAGCGCCGTCAAGTAAATCAAAGTTAGCCTTGTTCATGTGCTGATTGCAGAGAACGTCTCCCCTGCTTCCCCACAACACTTACAGAAAGCAAAGCGAACGTTCTGTCCTCATCAGAAGGACTTCTTTCTCCGGCGGCCATCTTTTATTCTCCTAAATCTGCAAAAGCAGCCTCGGATCTCCACGTCACGTTTCATCTCTCCGTGGGGCCTCGCTGCCACTTTAGAGGAATGAAATGATAAATTATTCAATTGATGGTCGTCATAAGCCTGAACCAGCGAGTGGAAGGTTTCTGATATGGTTTCTGAAAGCGGATCGATACTGATAATGTGACCTCACAGCGTGCGTTGGTATTGATACAGTGGGGTGTGAAGGAGGAGGGATATTCAAGTCTGCACACAGAATCAGATGCATCATAAAGGGTAGAAACGGTAAGGAAGTCTGGTGGTAAAAGCTTGTAGCGTTCAGTATTACTTACTCTGATGTGAGCACACTGCCACAGATAAATCCCACCACTTTAACTCTGCTTTACGCTCTCATTGTAAGGAGGACTCTCTTTTGCCTATGCTTGCAATATGCAAAAGAGATTGCAGTAGGAAAAATAGGGCAAAAATCCACTTTTCATAAAAACATGTCCCGGTGCATCTCCGTCAGCTTCGCTTTATCTAGAGACTGGAATGTTCCACATTCTTTTGCAAAAAAACGACTCAATCCGAGTTGGATTTAGTTGGAAGACTTTCCAAATATTTTCCCAGATGTTCTATTATGTTCACAGCTGGATGCTGAGTGAACACACCTGACAGACGTTGTCAACGTCCCGCTGCGTTGTTTAATGTGAGCACACAAAACGCAGAAACCAGAACTCGGTGTAGTGATCTTGCCCCCCACCCCCCACCCCCACGCTGAGTGTTTACATGTAGTTCACTGTTTACACAGGTTAGCTGGGTTAGATTAGGACGCGCCCTCCGACCAGAACACAAGATTCCCAGCCACACCTAATGCCTTTTGGTACTTTTGTGCTTTGCCATCTTAACCACAAGCATGCAGCAAATGGTGAGATGAAAAAACCTTGAGGTGTTAGTGGTAAGCGTACAAAAATTGTGACGCATCATTGGATTCTCTCAGACCACAAGAACAGTTCTTAGAGTCGTTCCATCTATCTGAGGCCGTTTCTGTTCTTAACTTTGGCTGCACCGCAGAAACTGATTGGTCGACCAGATGAGCGCAAAACCTAGAGCTTCTTGTTTTTTTTGGAAGACATTAACAAAACAGTGTTATATACCAGTCCACAAAGCCATTATTCCAAACAGAAAAATCATTTTTTTTAAGTTTGAAAAGGGACATAGAGACACATTCTATTTTTGGAGACTGAAGTACAGCGGGAGGTGACTTTGCTGCAGGAAGAATTGGTGCTCTTCACGAAATATGAGGGAACAACATTATGTGGAAATACTGAAGCGATAAAGTCGAACCTTGAGCTCGAATGGACGTTTTAAATGGAAAATGAGCCCAAACTGATATGTTTAATGAGAACAATGTGGAAGTTTTGGACTGGTCATCTCACATTTCTGATCTTAGTTCAGCTAAAAACCAAACGTGAGCAAGGCAACCTTTAGACCTGACCCGGTTAAACCAGTTCTATTTGGAGGAATGAGTCAAAATCATATCAAACTGTATTAAGAAACTTAAGAAATAATAACCAAAAACATTTTGAT